AGAAGCAGGCGGAGGCGAGCTCGAAGCGGCGGTATTTCTGGTGCTGAGTCTACTCGTGCGGCACCCACTTATCAAGCTTTTTCAACTTCTCGACCTACTGCATGTGGGTGCTTACTGACCTGCTGAAAACATTCAATCTCGAGCTAATATCCTTCAGCGTTGTACGTGGATTCTCTTCCACTAACGTTCTCAATTATTCGTTGTCAGCGGCAGAATGCCGCCCACTACGCTCATCATCTTCCAAGCTCTCATAGGCGGTACGAAACTTTTGAAACCACCACTGTAGTGTACGTTGATTCTTCGTACCAAAGACATCGTTGATATCCCGAGCCGTTTCCCTCGCACTCCTGCCCTGTTAAAGTTCCTGCCCTATTAAAAAGAAAAATCGTGCGGATCTGTCGTTTGTCCATGCTGATTTCGACCTTTTAAAAAACCTCAGGAATCACTCCAGGATAAAATCAATTATATATTCGGGTAGAGCAAGAATTGTGCTTCAGAACGATTTTAAATTGCGAACAATCAAATGGCAAGTAACACCACGGCGAGCATTTGAAAACTGGGCGTCGAAAAACGCGAGAACTTTCTTCACGGAAACTTTCTTCACGGGAACTTCTTAGAGGTCCGCCATACATTCTCGGAGCTCGCTAAATGCGTCGGCTTTAGGAGTACATGCAAAGAGCAGGTAATCTAGTTGACGTGGGCGAAAGTCCGCAGTGATGAACGTATTGTGGCACGAAGGCGTGCGAACTCTACGTCGGGGTCGAGGCGATTGCTATTCTCCGTGACTAAGGTGCGGTGGCCCTTCATACAAATCTGAAAGGTTTGCTGTGCTTGTGAAGTGACAGAAACGATGTATCCGAGTGTCTCAGTGAGATCTCGGTGAATAAAAGCAAATTTGTCCACGCGCCATAAGGTAGGCTTGCGGTGGTGACTCGCCCCTTCTACGGTGTCTGGGTAGGGGGGACCTTTCCTCATGAAATTGGTGGACGGTAGCAGGGTTATACCCATACGAGGTCACCAATCAAAATGTGGAAGACATCGATCCGATGTTTTCCGGTAAGGATGTTGACGGAGAATTGGTCGAGCATAACAGTGTGGAGGTCCATGCGATCGGGTAGGCGAACCTCCATGTGCACGGATTCGAGACGCGCTCCCGTACCAAAAAGGGACTTTACGCGATATAATACTGGGTGGATTCCTTAGTGGAGGCGCAATCCCCGGACGTAACTGAGCATTTCGCGTGCGGATGCTTTTTCGCAGGTGCCAGAGAGGAAACTCCCTGCCCTCCATACGCGTTTGATATAGGTTCTAGTAAGAGTGGCGCTTGCGAAAGCTGTCTATGGCTTGCGGCCCGACGGCTTCAAGGATGGACGAGGGGCAACATTTAGAGGTGTAGGCGCCGCTATGCTCGATGAACGGTGACAGCCGGCTATAACCTGTTGCGGTGATGCGCTCAAATTTTGAAGCAGGTAATTCGGGATCGTAATAGGGTGATACCTTGGGGCGTATTTTAAGTGCGAGAAGGTGGCTCCAAGGGTGGTTAACGAACTGCTCGGTTTCAAACTCAATTCCTTCCTCTTCCAAGGGAATTTTGAAAGGACGTTTACGCGGGTGGCTTGATGTGGGTTCACACCCCAACGCAGTTTCCTGAGAGATAACAGATTGGCCGTACTGGCGGGTGCACTCCATGATATTTTCGGGATATGGCTGGCGCGGTTTTCGCGGATCACTCTTTTTTTTGCGGTGTTGTGCTGTCTCCAGGATTTTTATTGTTATTGGTCGCCGGTTCCTCCGGGGAGGTAATGGGCTGATTAGGTCGAGACGAAGCTTCGCATGGACGTTCGTCGTCGGTAGTTGGCGCCTCTTCCTTGCCATACAAGAGCTGGAATGCCTCTTCGAGCGGCAGTTGATCTATAAGGTCGTCGATATTGGACTGGTCCAGGGTTCGACGGTCGCCGAGAATGTATTAGACATTGTCGTATAAACGGTTAATGCGTGCCATGTCATGCTGTCAACGAAGATGCCAGTAAAAGAAGATGCCGCATTGTAGGCTAGTATTGGCTGATACTGTTATGACCGAAGGTCCCTGTGAAGAGGTGACGCTCTGGGAATAGAGAGTATCAACGTTTTCAAGACGGGGTGTGTCTCTCGCGAGTGAACCAGACATATTACCTGCAAGGTGTGAGTATCGAAAATCAAATGTGTTCGAAATGAATGAACGTTACGCGACGACGTAGCACGTGTTAAACTCGAAGGCGACGAACGAGAATGGGATGAGATCACGGTGAAGTAGCCGTAACGGAATAGCTGGAAATGAGTAGTGGAGCGATAGGTTAATATAATATAGTATGTGACACAGTAAGCACAATAACATGGCGTGCATGGGTACTTTGACATTGAAGAGTTATTGAAAGGTAGATGAATAGAGGTTAGTATGATCTAGAGAGATGGAGAAGCTACCTGTCGTGATTCCGCGGTCGCAAGTTATATCGTGTGAGGGGGCGTAGGACCCTCTAGAGCCTGTTGTGGGGTCGTGGGCGAAGTCGGCGCTAAGTCGTGCTGATGGCCTGGTATATTGTCGGCGGGAAATGCGTCGAGAAAGGACTCCTCTTCCGGGATGGTAGGGAGTGTTGATGCGTGTCCTCTATAGTCGATTACCTTCTTGACTTGGTTGAGGTGAACCCGACGGGGTTTGGACTGCGGAGATGTTATACTCAATGTAGTAGCGTGAGGTGGGTCGACGCTAAGGACTCGGAATTGTCCGATCCATGGAAAGCAGAGTTTTCTCACATGTTCCTGTTTGCCAGTGTAGTTGCGAAAGAATACTCGGTCCCCTGCTTTGATCTGGGATGGACGCGCTGCTTTGTCGTACTGCGCTGTCACCGATTGTTTGTAGGTGCGCGCATATTCCGCGGCTTGCTTCCATGCCAAGTGTAGTGCGGACACGAGTTGCGCTCTATACTCGTCGGTTTCGGATGGACCGAGTATCTGAGGTCCGGTTTGCGGGAGTAAGATACGGTCGATGGTAAACACCGGGTCCCTCCCGAACAGCAGGAATAAGGGTGTTTTGCCCGTTGCTTCGTGAATAGATGTATTATAGCAGAACGTTGCGCAAGGAACGAACAAATCCCAGTCTTTCTGTTTTATGTTGATGAACTTAGAGAGCATAGATTGGAATGTGCGGAATGTGCGTTCTGTTGCCCCGTTCCCCATTGAAAGGTAAGGAGTTGCAAATTTATGCTGAATATGAAGGAGGTTGCAAAATTCCTGGTAGAAATGAGATGTGAAGCTTGATGCCTGGTCCGAGACAAGCTCAGACATGTTGCCGTACTTGAGGACCCAGTCAGAGAGAAGGGCATGCGCGATGGTATTTGCACGTGCGTCTGGTAGTGGGGTGGAGATGACGTATCGTGTGAACCAACACAGCATGTTGAGAATGTACTTATTTCCTCGTTCCGTGGTTTTTAATGGGCCGCAAAAGTCGAGACCAACCTTTGCAAATACCGCTTCGCTATGCACATGAATCAAACGTTCGCAGAAAGCGGATTTGGGATTACGCCATTTGACAGGTGAGGTATTCCTCAGACCATTTACGGACGTCGGCATGGATTGCTGGCCAGCAATATTTGCGCAGGAGTTTAGCTAGGGTCTTTTTGCAACTCCTATCCTCCAGAGAGGGCGCTACTGTGATAAATGTCGAAGAGCAAACGGACAAATTTTTGGGGTACCAGCAATAAAGATTGGGTACCGCTGAGCTCGGGAGGTTCGTAGTACATGCACCCATCGGTGTTCAGATGAGTGTGAAGCGCTATTGCCGTTGCTTTAGATCGAAGCTCGTCGCTTATAGAGGGTTGTAAGGGCTGATCGGTCTTGACGAGCCATACTAGACGAAGGAAATTGCCCCGTTGCTGTTCTTGACGGAAATATATGAGCTCCGGACTGCCGCGAACGAAGGTACGGTGAGCCTTGGCGGGGGTAGGTGGCTCAATTGGCTCAACTTGGACTTGAGGACTGAGCGGAAAATCTATTATATCCTGTAATTCCTGGTCTGGCACCCCACGGTGTTCTGGTCGTCGTGAACCCTTGATAGCGCGTCCGCTACGGTGTTTTTGGTTCCCTTAATGTGGACGACCTTGATCTTGTAGCTTTGCAGTTCGATGAGCCAACGCGCTAGGTTGTCGTGTGTTTTGCTTTTGTTTAAGAGGAAGGTCAATGGCTTATGGTCGCTGTGAAGTGTGACTTGGGTCATGCAGATGTATTGTTTGAACTGGCGTAGGGCGTAAATGGTGGCACCTAATTCTATTTGAACGGCTGGCCATCGGCGCTCTGTTTCTGTCAACGTGCGGCTACAGTAGGTTATGGCGTAGAACTTGTTGGAACCGGGTTGCTCTTCCTGCGTAAGGGCGCCTTCTTGTGCAGCAGAGCTGGCGTCCGTGAAGATGTGAAAAGGTTTGTTGTAGTCTGGGTAACCTAAGATGGGTTTATTGATTAGAGCATCGCGTAGCTCGCGAAACGCGGCTTCTTGAGGCTCCAACCATTGGAATTTGTTGCTATTAGGGTTAGCCTAGTGAGGGGTTCTGCTATGTTCGCAAAATTGGGGATGGAGGGGTTCTGCTATGTTCGCAAAATTGGGGATGAATTTGCGGAAAAACCCGACAATACNAAAACCGTTTCACCTCCTTGGTGTTGGTGGACAAGGGAAATCGCAGACCGTTCGTGTGTTGTCTTCGGCGGGTGAATATGAGTCCTTGTTAATGAGGTGCCCCAGAAAAGTGATCTGTCGTCTGGCAAAGGCGCACTTTTTGGGTGATGGTCTTTTAGGTTGAATTGGCGAAGACGTAATAGTACCTGTTCAAGGGTTGTGAAGTGAGACTCAAAATGTTTGTTATAAACGAGAATGTCATCTATGTAGGTGAATACATTGCCCTCTAAGCCACCTAAGACCTTGGACATCATGCGTGCGAAGTAGCTAACGGCTGACTTTAGGCCAAAGCGGAGGTGGGTCATTTGATAGATCTTATTCTCGGTAATGACCCCGCATTTATAGCTGCTTTCTTCATCGAGTGGGAGTTGCAAATAACCACTAGCGAGATCCAATGTAGTATAGAAGCTGTTACCTCCGATCTTCTTGAGAACATCGTCAATACTGGGATAGGATACGGGTCTGGAAGTGTTTCAGGTTACCTGAAACACTTCCAGACCCGTATCCTATCCCAGTATTGATTGGACGCCTCATGTCGAGGCAAATCCGGAGGGTGTTATCCTTTTTGCGAACGACAACTAAATTGTGGACTCAATGGGTCTGGGATTCTTTCATAGCCCCTGCTTTCGAAAGTAGGTTGATGTGTTTCTGAATTTCCTCGCGATACTTAACGGGCACTCTATACGGACGGATTTTGGCGGGTGGGTCATCCGTGGTATATATGTGGACTTTTCCCGCCGTGCAGCTGCCTATATCGTATTGATGACGAGGGAAGACGTCGGCATAGCGGTCTAAGAGCTTGCGGAGTATGCTACGCTGAGTGTCCGTGACATCACGTTGTTTGAAGTTGATCCTATAAGAGGGATCAGCCCTGTCAAATGAGTCCACACAGGTGGCCGCTATGGGGGTGCGCGAGGACTCGCTGTAATCGGTCAAAGCGAATCCCTTGGTCAATGGCATGGCCTTCGCTATATGCATGCCTGCGTACAGCGTCTGAGGTTGGTTGGTAGGATTGGATACCAGTAGAACTGGTTGTTTAGAATTGATCATGGCGGAAGCTACAGAGAGGTCCCTTTGAAAAGACATGTTGCTTGAGAGACGAGCGTGAAGTCTGTGGCTCCTCCCCAGTTGCTTAGGGTGCTTGGGACCAAGGTTTCCATGTTTGGCTGAAGTTTCATAGCATCGCTTACGCACACCGGGAAAGCGGTCAGGGGGAAAGGTTGGGGGGGACTACCGTAAGAAACCTGGCGATTTTGGTAATCGATAGTCATGATTGGTAACAAAGCTAGGACATCATTTCCCAAGATAACTTCGTACGCTGAGTTGATGTTAGGAACGCACGAACCCTTGGTAAAATGCAAAGTGAGTGGGAGACAGATACTGGCAATCCTTAGTTGGACTTTCTTGGATCCAGCCATTGGGACGTGGATACCTGCCATGCCCATTGCTGTGACGGATTGAGGAGGGTCTAACGTGAAAATACTCAAGGCTGCACAAAGGTTTTGCGCGGCCAGGGTAACATTGGATCCTGTGTCGATTAATGCCGATACATTGACTCCGTTAACCGTAATCCGTATGTGTGTGGAGAGGGATTGAGTCGCTAACGATAAGATGTAAACCGTGGGAAAGGGTGCTGGCTCTAGGGAGACTGGGGACTGCGCCGGAGTACTGTAGTTTTGCGGCGCTGGCATTGGCTGGGGTTGGCTACGCCCCCTTTTCCTGTAGAAACGAGCTACGTACTGAAACAAATGCAAGGGAATTTGGCTTGAAATATATAATATGATAATGCGAGATAGAAGCTGGATTGAAACTGCTATGCAACAAAGGGTGACCCATGGTTTATAAATGGTTGTTAAGAGGAAGCTAGCGAAGCTAATAGGAAAGGATGGGATTGAGAGGTACTAGGCTTAGTTGGGTCGTGATGAGTTGTCGCGCTGGTGTGGGCTTCCAAGGCTACCTGATTCCGCTCAAGCGCTGCCCATAGCTCAGTGAACTGTTGTTCGGGGGCGAACTCGCTGATATTGGTGATGACCAAGTTACGGAATAGGGTGAGAGCAGGACGTAGGGTACTTTGAGGACGGTTAAACGAGTGCTCAATTACGGTTATGGTAGAACGAGGAATAATGCGAAACGAACCAGACAACGGCATANGAGAAACGGAATCGTTGAAAGGAAATTCAAATAATAAATCTGTTGCACACGGCACGGCACTGGCAGTGTGAGAAATAATGTTAGTGGCAGGATCGAGAAAAGCCTTCCAGTGGGTCTTATCTGGAAGGAAAACCGAGATAGAAGGTGTTGAGAAGCACGACTTATTGAATGGCGAGAGGGAGTGCATGGAAGGTGAAAGGCTGGCGCATGATTTAGTGCGAACGATATTGTTTCCTAGAAACTTGGCATCAATGTCTGACCGCTGTAGGATACTTCTCATGGCTATTGTAGGGTTAGCAGAAAACGCAGCTATCAAAGAAGCACTGAGAGAATTAATCGATTTGCAGAGAGCAAGGATAGCATAATGAAATGATTCGCTCATAGATTGTTGCACACCATCTTCGACAGCTAATAGTTGTGCAGCCAGCTGGTTGGTTGTAGCTAGGCCGACCTGGCGGCTAGATAGATTTACATGGCGTTTAGAACGATGATATGAAAGAGACTCAATAGCATAACCTTGATTTGTGATGATAAGAGAGTGACCACAACCAAAAACGGGAGTAGCGGAAAGAGAGAAAGAAAGTGCGAAATTTTTGGAGTTGCTAAAACCTTTTCTGCCAACGTGCCTTTCATTGAGGAAACGTGAATGTACCTACAACTCTCTTGGCTGTCAGGGATCCAGATCACTGCCGATCCTGATTGCATATCGCACTCTCCGCGGTGGTAGTTGCAGTTGTCCATGGGTCCTATGGAGCTTTCGATGGAGTCCGAACCATGGTACGCGAAAATTGACGCCTGAAAAACTATACAGTTGGAGACCGAGACGGAATTCTGTGCAGCACTGAAAAGGTGCTGAAGGCCAGTCGATCTCTAGAGTGTTCATAGTTCTTAGGAGCGTCCCCACCGTGATTAGGTCGCCATGAGCGCAGGCCTTATGAGCAACCATGTGGCGACACGAGTCAGTGGATACCGTGTGCTCATGCGATACTACGGATTGAGACCGTGCTCCGAAAAAGTTCACCGAGTGTGTCGCTTTTTGAGTTATCACGCGGCACACGTGGTCGATACTTTTATAGCGCACGGTGTCAGGCCAATATACGTTAATCGTCAATGGTCTCACCTTAGCCGATATAGATGGCAGAATTTGAGAGCAGTTGATGTCGGTAGGGATTTTCCAATAACTAACCGGTGCCTTATTAGAACATAGTAAGGGAGGCATAATGTGAGCGTCCGATATTTGAGAGAGGACGGCTATAGCGAGCATACAGGAGTAAGCCCAACTGACTGGGGCCGACGAATTCCTGGCACTCTTCGAAGGATGCTCTTGCGGTAATCTTGAAGGTTCAGGTCACGGGTTGCGAAT